AAAAAAAAAAAAAAAAAAAAAGAAATATTTGATCTGTAGAACTAATTAAAGGAGGCACAACCTGACTATCAGTACTGTGTTATCTTTTATTTACGTATGTATTTAGAGATATATACAGTACAGAGTCCACCAAAAACATGTATACACACTTGAGGAAAACAAAAACTTGTGTAAATATTTTAATACTAAATTTATTGACATCATGAGATTAATAAGTTACAGAAGAGCCAGGCGTGGTGGTGCAAGTCTGTAATCCCAGCACTCAGGAGGCTGAGGCAGGAGGATCCTTGGGAGTTCGAGACCAGCCTGGGCTGCATAGCGAGACCTTGTCTCAAAAAGGCAAAAAAAAAAAAAAAAAAAGTTACAGGCTATACAATTACAAGAGGGGCTCAAAGTGGTGGCCATGAGCTTCCACACATTTATTAGTACGGTGAACTACTGCGTGGGTGACCTTGGTCACTGAGATTCTGCACATGCATTTTCAGTTTCTTCTCTAAGGGCTGGGAGTGTGGTGGGTTTTTTACAGTATTCAGCATCCCCTAGGGTCCCCCATACGAGGATAACACCTGCTGAAAAAACATAACTATTTTTCTTTTCCTGAAGTGTGTATACATTTTCTTGGTGTACTCTATTGATTAGATGGATAGATAGATAGATGACGTGTGAGTATATATACATACATAAATATATACATGTATTTACAAACAAGGTAATACAATACCAATAATAAGGTTATACACATATATATTGTAGACAAAATACAAAATTATTTTGAAATTTTTATATTGATAAGGTGAAGACTGGTGAAACTGTGCTTTATGCCAAGATTGACAAGTCATTGTTCAAAGACCTCCAGTCTTCTGATGGTCAGAATTCTCAGAGATGTACAAAGCAGGGACTGGTGGAGTGCGTCCCCGATGGTACATGCAGCCCCGGGCTCCATGAGCGACCAGCTCGCGATCACCGTCCCAAGCGCGCCCGTGTCCCACCTGTCCCTCTTCCCTGGTTATTGTGAAGCTGTTCTCAGGCACCCTTCCATTTCTAAATGTGTCAAGCTTTGTTTTTATTCTTGGTTTTGTGTATGGAAAATACGAAATAGAAACCATTTTGTCCACAAGTGAAGGTTTCTCCTTTCAGGACAAGGAGCACAAGTGCCCTTTGATTTGTGGGAGGAAACTCCGCTGTGGCCTTCACAGGTGTGAGGAACCTTGCCATCGGGGGAGCTGCCAGACGTGCTGGCAAGCCAGTGAGTGCCTCGGCCGCGTGTTGCAGTGTAGCGCTGTCTAGACGCGAGATGCATGCGTTTTCAAATGTCTGTCTTTACTAGCAAATGTTTGTAATGTACAGGGATTGCATTCATCGTGGGGAATTGGTACATGGACATAGCACAGCCTAAGACATTCGGGTATATTGGAGAGATTGGTTTGCTTGGGTTGATGTGGACTGTTGGACTGAGCCTTCGTGTTTCAGCTGTGTTGAGGTGTCTCTAAGGTATTCTTAGTAGTAGTCTCTGAATCTACACAGTTTGCTTTTTTTTTTTTTTTTTTTTTTTTAAATTTCTTTCCGGTACTGGGAATCGAACTCACAACCTTGTGCTGGCCAGGCGAGCGCTGTGCTGCTGAGCTAAATCCCCAGCCCCTCTACACAATTTGAAGTGTGAGCAATGATCTGAGATAGCATCTTCTTTTGCTATCTGCCTTTTTTATTACCGCCATTGGCAGTCTATTAGCAGTACTATTAGACACAGTTAGTAAATTTTTGGGTCTTGAGACTCACACTCTTAAAAATTATTGAGAGCTGGGCATGGTGGCACATATCTGTAATTCCAGCACTTGGGAGGCTGAGGCAGGAGAATTGCCATGGGTTCAAGGCCAGCTTGGGCTGTATAGTGAGTTCAAAGCTAGCCTGAACTACAGAGCAAGACCCTGTCTCAGGACAAAAAAATTATTGAGGAATCCAAAGAGTTCTTTGTATGTGTTTATGTATTTCTACCAAATGAAGTTAAAACTGAGAAAAGTAAAAAATAATTTATTATTTCATGTTAAAATAACAGTAATATACCTGTTAACATATATTGCTTTGTTTCACCATTGTGGTACTGGGGATGAACCCAGGGCCTTTGCACTGAGATGCATCTCCAGCCCATTATTGTGAAGCAGAGTCTTCTTAAATTGCCCAGGTTGAACTCAAACACGCGACCCTCCTGCCTTAGTCTGCCAGAGTACAAGGATTACAAGCGTATGCCGCCATGCCTGGCTAAACCGCACTTCAGAAATTAAAATATTGAATGCCTGATTTAGTAGAAGATAGCTGGATTTTCATATCTGCTTCGCATTCAGTCTGTTACAGTATAGTTGAGGCATATAAGAAAAGTCAGCCTCCCACAGATGACTAGTTATAAGAGGGAGGATCGTTTATGAAACCTTTTTACATAGATCCAGGCATGGTGGCGCACACCTGTAGTCCCAGCACTTGGAACACGGAAGCAGGAACAGTGCTGCGAGTTTGAGGCCAGCCTGGGCTCCGTAAAAAGCTCAAGGCCAGCCTGAACTACACAGTGAGACCCTGTCTCAAAAACAAAACAAAAAGAAAAGAAAGACCGGGCTGGGGACATAGCTCAGTGGCACAAACGCCTGCCTGGCAAGTGCAAGGTCCTGAGTTTGATTCCTGGTACCAAAAAAAAAGAGTATCAAGAAAAGAAAAACTTCGTGAGATAGTTGTGGTTGTTCGACCTTGATGTTGTTCCGGAATTCAACCTCATCTCATAAAGGACACGAGTCAGCATTTGCTCTCTGAGATGTTATGCTACGTTGTTCTCTCTTGTATTTTGAGTGGCTCTTTTACCCAAGCATGATTTTAAAGTAGTGTACATTGATCATTGGAAAATAATCTTTAACTGTGTGTGGTGGCACATGCCTATAATCTCAGCACTCTGAGAGGCTGACCCAAAAGGGATACAAGTTCAAGCCCAACCTGGGCAGTTTAGTAACTTAGTGAGACTTTCATCTCAAAATAAAATATAAAAAGTTCTGAGAGTGTAGCTCAGTGCAGAGGCTCTGTATTCAGTTCCCAATACCACAAAAAAGGAAAGCAAGGAAATAGCCACCGGATTATGCAGATCTTTGAAATATTGGCAGTTTTGTATTGCAGTATCAAAGACTTACAGTCCTTCGTATAACTTCCGATGTTATCGGAACTGTCTTGGGGAGAGTATTGGGAAGTTGTCCATCTCAGAGTGAGGTGGAGCGCTGCGTCTCTCTCTGTGCCTCTTTCACCAGCTCAGGTTTAGCCAAATAAAAGTGTAATAAAATGTCTATTTTTGGGGGCTGGGAATTTAGCTCAGCGGCAAAAGTGCCTGCCTGGCAAGCGCAAGGTCGTGAGTTCGGTTCCCGGTACCGGAGAAAAACCAAAAAAAAAAAAAAAAATGTCTATTTTTTAAAAAACAGCCCACCCGATCCCCATTCTCTAAAAGTACAAATAATTACGCACGTGCACACCCCAGGCTCTCACAGGGTTGTTTGCCCTCCTCTTCCGGCAGGCTTTGATGAATTAACTTGCCACTGTGGCGCGTCAGTGATCTACCCTCCCGTCCCCTGTGGCACCAGGCCCCCCGAGTGTAGTCAGACCTGTGCCAGACTCCACGAGTGTGACCATCCCGGTGAGTCTCCTCTTGCGCGCGCGTGCTGTCACCGCCTCGCTGCTCGCAGGCGGGGCTCAGAGCCCGTGCCCCAGGGCCTCTGTGCAGGCGGTCTGCGTGCCAGCTGGCACTCACAGTGCACTCCAGTGTTGTTCTCTGCGGGTGCCAAACGTAGCCGAAAGATTGGAAGCCCCCCTGATCTTGTCTCTCAGGGACTTTCTTCTTTCTTCATACCTCTGCTTTTGCTGCATATTTCAAAGTTGAGCATCTTTTTACAAAATTAAAAGTAACTTGGTTTTTTGGTTGTTATAGAAGCAATATGTGTTTACTAAATAAGAATAAAGATAATAGAAATAAAGTCAAGAGTTTAACATTAAGTCATATTATGTCATCATGTGTATGTGTGTTAAGACAGTGTCTGGCTATGCGGTTCAGGCTGGCCTTCAAGTCACTTTGTAGCCCAGGTTGGCCTCGAACTCGCCATGCTCCTCCTGCCTCAGCCTGGAGTGCTTGGGTGAGAGGCTGCACCACCACACTTGGCCGCGTGTCATCCTGTAAGGATTATACACACTTTTCACAGTGTTTTTCCACGTGTAAATAGGTATATTTGCATTTTTTTTCCTGGAATAAAAGTGAGATCCTACTGAATATAACAATTTTAGGGAGGACTGTTGGGGGAGAAAAGGAACCCTTCTCCACTGTTGGTGGGAGTGTAGACTGCTGCAAGCACTGTGGAAATCAGTGTGGCAGTTCCTCAAAAAACTGGGATTGGAGGTCTCCCTCCCCCGCAATACCGGGAATCGAACTCACGACCTTGCGTTTGCCAGGCAGGCGCTGTGCCACTGAGCTAAATCCCCAGCCCCCTGGAGGTCCCATTTGACACAGCTAATTCCCCTCCTGGGTATCTTCCCAGAAGGATTAAAAACATCATACCACAGTGACATACATACATCCATATTCATAGCAACACAATCTGTCATAGCAAAATTTTGAAAACAACCCAAATGCCCATCAACCAAGGAACAGATAAAAAAGATGTGGTCTTTTTTTACAATGGAATATTACTCAGCAATAAAGAAGGGTAAACTGGAGACGTTTATAGGTAAGTGGATGCAACTCGAGACCACATTCATAAGTGAAATAAACCAGGCACACGTGTAAACGTCATATTGTCTCCCTAGTGTAAGACTCTAAAAGAGAACAAGATCCAAAATGTACAATAGATATTGTGAAATGGGAAGAAACTGTTCAAAATGAAAGAGAAACTGGGATGGGGGAAAGGAGAAAAAAAGGAAGGGAAAAGAAGGAAAAAAAATATATTTATATACCCACACACTTAAGATAGTTATGATACTAATTTTTCTGAGTTCATGGAAAAGAAAAGTTCGTGCTAATATTGTTTGGGCAATTAAATGCCTATATCTTGTACTCTGAGTAATTTAAAGATAACAATACACAATGTATTAACCATTGTTACCCTCCTGTTATCTTGTTTTGAGATTTTTCTTTTTTCTTTAAAAAAGGGTCAGGGATATAGCTCAATGGCACAGCACCTGCCTGACAAGCACAAGGTCCTGAGTACCAAAAATAAAAGGAAATGATAATAAAATAATTGTAAAAAAAATTTTTAGCTGGCTTTTTTCCCTCAATTGTTATCTTTTTAATTTCTCTCCATATCAGTTAATATTACAGGTTTTGTTTGGTGGGGTTTCTGTTTTTCTGGGTTTGGTCTTGTTTTGTTTTTTGAGGCAAGGTCTTGATATGTAGTGCAGGCAGGCCTTGAACTCTGTGTAGCTGAGGCTGGCCTTTAATTCACAGTGATCTTCCTGCCTCAGCCTCCCAAGTGCTAGGATTAGCCACCACACTCAGCTCCTGTGACGATTTAGAAAAAGTATTCCCCAGCCCTGGGACTTTCTGTTATATGCCATCGATAACGTGTGTAGTTTATGGGACATCGTGTAGAAGTTACTCCTGATGCCACCTTTCTCTCTCTGCAGTGTATCACTCTTGTCACAGTGAGGAGAAGTGTCCCCCTTGTACTTTCCTGACTCAGAGGTGGTGCATGGGTAAGCACGAGGTAAGGGTTCTCGCTTAGGTGTTCATTGTTCCAGCCAGAGGGTTACGATTTGATTATCCCAGAGTTTTATCTTGTTGGTTCTGAAAGTAAACTTACTCCAGCGAGCAGAAGCCTTCTGTTACCACTTTTTTTTCTTGAGACAGTCTCACTGTGTAGTCCAGGCTGACCTCAAACTTGCGATCCTGAGTGCTGTTTTTGTTTTTAAGGGAAAATTTACATACAGTAAAATTTACCTTTTTAAATCTGTAGCTCTGTGAGTTTTATCAAGAGCATTGTACCGTCACGTAACAACTGTCACAATAAAGATGCAGAACGGAGCCAGGCCTGGTGGTGCACAGCTGGACTCTCAGCATTCGGGGAGCCTGAGGCAGGAGAACTGCAAGTCCAAGCCCAGCCCGGGCAGCTTAGCCAGACCCAGTCTTGAAAACAAGTAAGAAAAGGACTAGGAGTATAGCTCAGCGTGAAGGCCCTGGGTTCAAGCCCCAGCATGGGGGCGGGGCAGTTCATCCCCCAGCATTCCTTCGGGTGGCCTGGGTCACTCTCCCTTCCCACTCTAGACCCTGACGACCAGTGACTGGCATCTGTCTCACTTCTCCCCCGAATGCCACCGAAATGAGACTGTGCAGCGGTTAGCATTTTGTCTCTGTTTCATCAGTTTTAAAATCTGGTTACAACAAAATGAGACTCAGCCCCTTCAGCCTGGAGAGCACGTCTAGGGTCCCTGGGGTGCGGAGAGGTCCCTGGCCCAGGAAGAGGTATTTCTGTGAGGGCACCCAGGGGTAGAGCTGGGCTCTCCACCAACTGCCACCCAAGTGCCTACCTCCAGGCTCCCTGTACCTCTTGCTGCAATACCCTGAACGACTTTCACCCTTACTCCCTTTTTTTTCCCCAGACAGGGTCTCACTATGTAGCTCAAGCTGGCCTTGAACTGCCAGACTGGCCTTAAACTCGCAGCGCTCCTCCTGCCTCAGCCTCTGGTGCTGCACTGCCATGCCTGGATTCACCCTCATTCTTAACCTCTAACCTGTGTTTGGCATCCTCTTCTCTAGACTTTTTAAACACTTAAAGTTTTTAATTTTATTTATTTATTTTTTGTGTCTTTGAGACAGGGTCTTGCTATGCAGTTCAGGCTGGCCTTGAGCTCACTTTGTAGCCTAAGCTGGTCTCGAACTCACAACAATCCTCCTGCCTCAGCCTCCTAAAGTTTTTAATTTTAAAAATGTGTATTTACTATAGATAATTGAGAAGATACAATTCTACTACTGAGAAAGAAATTCTTTCTTGCGGGGGCGGAGGAGGGTGCTGGGAACTGAACCAGAGCCTGTGCACGCTGAGCGAGCACTTCACCCCAGAGCTGCACCACAGCCCAAGAAGGCAGTGCCCCGACCTCTGGTTTGTGACCTGTCAGGCGTGTGCTGATAACGTACCTCCCTGGCTCCGGTTAAGATTACACTGTTTTGTAACCTGTGCTTTTTACTTCATAACATGTTGGCCAACATTTCTGGAAATTCTCTTGACATCTGTAACAACATGCTTTCAGGATGCTTATCTTGATGGACACATTTTTCTCTACTTATTTCCTGTGAGTGGTTCTCAAGTTATAGGCCCTTTTAATTCCTCCCCTAAAAATCTCATCTCCTATGAGTTTATCCATTCTAAAACATTCATGTGTCATTTTTTTGTTGTTGGTTTAAAATTTATCCAACAAACCTTAAGTGAGTACCTACTGTATGTAGGGAAACAGGCTAGATTTGGGGTGATTCAGAAGTTAACAGTACTGCCAGGCGTGGTGGCGCACGCCTGTAAGTCCAGCACTTGGGAGGCTGAGGCAGGAGGATCGTTGTGAGTTTGAGACCGGCCTGGGCTGCAAAGTGAGCTCACAGCTGGCCTGAACTGCACAGCGAGACCCTGTCTCAAAAAAAAAAAAAAAAAAGAAGTTAGCAGTACTGATACGACCCTGGCACTCTCGCAGCCTTTACTTGATGGGAGGCAGGTGAACAGGCAACTGTAATGCAGTAGGTGGGAATACCAGGTACCAGGGGGTGAAAGGGGTCCTACCAGGGGAGGGCGGCTTGGAGGAAATAGCATCCTCCAGGGTAGTGAGGTGGTGCAGGGAGCAGGTGACGCAGGGCAGAGCACAAGCAAGTTACCCCTAGGGCCCTGGGCCTAGCGTGGATTAAGTGTTCAGTGAGTGGGAGCTGCGTCCTGCCGAAGTCCAGACTCCAAAGCAGTCGGAGGGCTCCGTGTCCTAGACCTGGAGGCCTCTTCGAGAGTGGAAGCTGTGTGTCGCTGGAGTAGGGAATAGTGCTCCTCTGGAGGCTTCGGAAGAGAATTTGAGTGAACACAGTACGTAAAGTGCCCTTCGGTCGCATAGGAGTAAAATCCCAGTAGTTTTTTATTGCAGTGGAGAGACTTGGAGGCCGAGGTTTTCTCAGGAAAACATGAGCTGGGAGTCCCTGCTGCCTCCTAACTTTCTCAGTGAGCAGGGCTGCCTGGCCTTCTGAGGCCAGGAGTTGGCAGGTGCGATAGAGCTGAAGATGCAAACAGCCTAACAGCCCCGCTAGCAGTCCCTGAACTTGGGACCGTAGGACCTGCACCCCGGCACGTGGGAGGGTTTTCTGTCAAGTCAGTGCCTTACCCTGGAAAGGAGGGAGAAGGTCACCTGGCTTCCATGTTGACTGTAGCACTTTCGTAAGTACTCACAGTCACGCGGTGGCCTTTGCTTGTTGCTACCTTGGAAAGTTTCTCCCAGGTCACACTGGGCTATACAAGTCTTTTGGATCATAGCAAGTATTATTAAATAAGATTCAAATTTGTCTTCTTGTGAAACTAATCTTGTGGACTTTAACAATCAAGTTGTTTTCAGATAAAAAGAGCTTTTTAAAAATTTTCTAAAAGTTGTAAGTTTTGAAGTGTTCTAAGGAAAAGTTAAAACTCGCCCCAGATCCCACACAGAGATGAGAATCTGCCTGCTTCTCTCCTAGTTACGAAGCAACATCCCCTGCCACCTGGCTGACATCTCCTGCGGGTTACCCTGCAGTGCCGCGCTCCCGTGTGGGATGCACAAGTGTCAGAGGCTCTGTCACAAAGGAGAGTGCCTTGTGGATGAGCCCTGCAAGCAGCCCTGCAGCACCCCCAGAGCGGACTGTGGCCACCCGTGCATGGCTCCCTGCCACCCCAGCTCACCCTGCCCAGTGACTGCTTGCAAAGCCAAGGTGGGTATTCCAGACTCCCACTAGCGCATCGATTCCTCTGGACCTGCTAGTAAGGCCAGGAGTGACCGCAGCAGAGCCGGGGCAAGTGTCTTAAGCGGAGGTCGTTAGCTGAGAGAAACTGCAAGTGAAGTTAGCAAGAGAAAGGTGGTATAAATCATAAACCTCTTACTTCCGCAGGTACCGATTGCCACCTGATCAATTTACCCCCTTTGGAGCACATTCTCAGAAACTCTTGATTGTCTGCTCCATGTGCTCACCATATATAATCTGTTGTGGGCAGGATATTGTGTGAGGTTCTAAGGCGGGACTAGTGAACAAGAGAAACACAGTCTCTTATAATTTCTTGGAACAGATACTCACAAAATGGTCACTCAAATGCTAACTGTGGCTGTGGTGACACAAAAGAGTGGTTCCAGCCTTGTAGCGGGCGCCGTGAGCGTGTAAACGGTCTGGGGAACCTCCCAGGCCGCTCTGACGACGTGAAGTGGACAGATCGTGTGAGGTTGGCTGGGCCTCAGTTGATTGGTCTGGGCAAGTGTCCACTTCTGATTCACTGGTAGAGACTTGATTCTGCGCTACCCTTTCAGCCCAGATTGACAGCAGCAGTTTCGTAGTTTCTAGAAAGGGCATTCTGAACCGTACATGTCCCTCCTAGTTGCATATCAACTACTGTGTTGTCAGTTTGCATGTGTGGTTAGCTTCTTTCATCTTCAAGGGTGGCACTCATGGTTCTCTGCCCTTCCCCAGTTTTGATTTGAGAGAAGCTTGTTGTGTTGTGTTGTGTTGTGTCTTGCTTGAGACACAGGGTTTTGCTTCAGACTTGGGCGGTCTGCCTGTCTCAGCCTCCGGAGTGCTGGAGTTACAGGCATGCGCCACCACGCCTTGCAGAGAGAGGCTTTGCCAGTGAAATCCGCTCACTCCATGGTTCTCATTTGCTCAAGGTGGTTCTGTGTCAATCTTGTCTCAGGTAGAGCTACAGTGTGAATGTGGACGAAGAAAAGAAATGGTGATTTGCTCTGAAGCATCCAGTACTTACCAGAGGTGAGTGCTGCAGAAATGCTAACAGTTGTTAGGTCTAGGTGAAGGGGACTCGTATTTATTGGAAAATTCTTGCATCTTTTCTGAAGGTTGGAAGGTTTTTTAAATCTGCCTTCTCTGATTCAAAGAAAGAACGTTCCTAACCCTTCGTGGCTTTTCTTCCCTGACTGCTCATTTGCAAGGGAAGTGTCTCGTTCTTCTTCTCTGCATGTCTCTCATTGCTGCCCTTTTGGTCTTAGTAACCCATGAGATGAGAAGAGCTGTCCTGGCGTGAAATGAGTTGCTTTGATGTCTACCGCTGCTAGAGGCACAGCCGGGGCTAAGGCCTGTGCCCTCCCCGAGCGGTCTCCCCTCGTTCTGGGAAGCAGCTTTGCAGCCTCCTAGAGTCCTGGAGCCCACGCGGTCAGACAGGCCCTGAGCACGCGGCGGCGCGGTGTGAGAGAACCCTGGCCGTGCGTCTCTGATGCGATGTGGGGGTGTCCCGCGCACACGGGCGTCAGCTTGCCTGCGTGGAGCACCCCGGAGTGCCGGGCGGTGTCTGCGCGGCGCAGGGCTGAGGAGTTGGGTTTCCTCACGAGCGCCTAGGGAGCGGCCGAGGCTCTGGTTGAGCATGTGGCAGCCCCAGGCTGCACCCCCCGGCACCCACCGTCTTGCGGTGGCTTGGTTTTGAGAGAGGTCCGCTGTGTCCCTGACGTGGCAAGGTTCTTGTGAAACTGCAGTGCCTCTCCTCTTTTCTGTATTTCAGAATAGCTGCTATTTCCATGGCCTCTAAAATAACAGACATGCAGCTTGGTGATTCCGTGGAGATCAGCAGGTTCATTACCAAAAAAGAAGTTCAGCAAGCCAGGTGATTTGAAAAACATGTATACATGCCTTGTTTCTTCTGGTTTCTGGAAGGCAGGGCTCGTTCGTGTGTCTCAGTCCCCGCAGTACAGCCTGACACGGCACACACTCAGCGGTCTTCCGCATGGGGCCACACGCTCCCCAGCCCCAGTGCTCCTCCTCAGGGTGTAGCTGAGAGCAGAAGAGACTTTCCAAGCCTTACCTGAGACAGTTGATAAGGGAAGGAGGAACCTAGGGGAAGCAGCCCAGCCCGCAGGAGAACGGAGAGCCGCAGTGGTACCCGTGTCCAAAGAGGGAGCTGGGGCTGTAAGAGCTGTACCTGGGGAGCAAGCAGCTCCGCAGGGTAGATTCCCAGGACAGCGGGTGCTACTGAAACCAAAAGCAGGCTGGCCTAGCAAGCTGCTTCCCGCCCAGGAGGGAGGCCCTTCAGCAGGACTCAGCTGTGCTCTGATTGCCCACCTGCAGCTGTCTTGCTGGGTAAGGGCCATTCGACCTGTCCCCTGACGATTTTTTTATTTGCTTGTCAAGGCTGGAGTGTGATGAAGAGTGTTCAGCCTTGGAAAGGAGAAGGTAAGTGCTTCCAGCTGCTTGTCACCTGCTTGTCCTGGAGCCCTGTGTTGTTAGGAGAGGGGGCGGCCCTTCCTGCACTCCGCACCGCTCGAGGCTCACGCCGCCGGGCACCAAGGGAACCGTGCTCAGCAAGCACTGACTTGTCTGAGCATAAATCACTCAGGTCATTTGTGCGTATTTCAGAAACACGAGCTGTGTGGCTTTGGGTGTGAGGTAGACGTTGTATACCACACAGTTCTTTTCTGGCTGGCCAGCTTCCTGAAAACAGTGATAAGAGGCTTTAAAAAAGGTTTGATGGTTTTTTTTTAGATTGAAGTGTAACATAAGTACACAGGTCAGGGACTCATCAAGTAAATAGTGCCGTAACCAACACCCAATTCAAGGAAGAGAAAATTACCAGAACCCTTTCGTGTATTCCACAAAATTCTGCCTTTTGACACTTTATATTAGTTTTGTCCTGTTAAAAGTTTATGTTTTAGATGATGAAGTCATATACTTTGTGTTACTTTTGTCTGATTTCTTGTATTGCATTTGTGACACTTGTTGCATGCGGCAGTACTTTATTTTCAGTTTTGCATGAGATTTTGTTGTGTTAATGTATCATAATTTAACCATTCTGCCTTTTATGGATATATGTATTGTTAGCAATATTGAGCTATACAAATAATACTGTTGAGAACTTTTTTCCTTCAGTGCTGGGGATTGAACTCACATTTGTTAGGCAAACATTCTGTCCCCAAGCTACATCCCCACCCTCCAAGGACATTTGTGTTCTTCTTTATATATGTACTCATTTCCACTGGATATAAGTTTAGGAGGGGAATTGCTGTTTAATAGGGTATGCTTGTGTTCAACTTTCGTAGATTCTTCTGCCAGTGTCCAAACTGGTTGTTTGAAATTACACTTCTTGCCCAGTGTGGTGGCACATGCCTATAATCCTAGCACTTTGGAAGGCTGAGGCAGGAGGATCACAAGTTCAAGCCTAAACTTAATGACTTAGCAAGACCTTGTCTCAAAAAAAAGTAAGGCCTAGCACTCAGGAGGCTGAGGCAGAAGGATAACCATGAGTTCAAGACCAGCCTGGGCTGCATAGTTCATGGCCAACCTGAACTACAAAGCAAAACCCTGTCTCAAAAGGTAGATAGATAGATAGATAGATAGATAGATAGATAGATAGATAGGGGCTGGGGATTTAGCTCAGTGGCACAGCACCTGCCTGGCAAGTGTGAGGTCGTGAGTTCGATTCCTGGAACCGGAAAATGCGCCCCCCCAAAAAAAGAGATAGATAGATAGATAGGGGCTGGGGATTTAGCTCAGTGGCACAGCACCTGCCTGGCAAGTGTGAGGTCGTGAGTTCGATTCCCAGTACTGGGGAAAAAAAAGATAGATGTTAGATTGATAGATAGATAGATAGATGTTAGATTGATAGATGTTAGATAGATAGATAGATAGATAAATAGATAAGGTAAATAACTAAGTCAGGGATAGGGGTGCAACTCAGTGTGAAGTCCCTGGGTTTAATCCCCAGTGCAGAAATAACAGTAACAGTAATAATAACAACTTAAACTTTCAGCAGGGTGGTCATTCCCATTGCTGCTGCACCTTTTTGCCAGTGCTTGGATTGTCAGTCTTTTTCATTTTGACCATTCTTAGGATGTGTACAAGGATGTATAGCCTTGTTTTACCTTGAAATTTGCCTGTAAGCAATTACGATAATTTGTGTTTAGTGCTGGGGATCAAACGTCGGGCAGTGCACGTGCTAGGCAGGCACTTTACCGCTGAGCTACACCCCCAGCAGCAGTACCTCTGTAAGTGTCAGTGTGTAGAAGGTGTTGGGGTGCCCTGCAGTGCGGCCTGGGTCTCCCTTGGCTTGACACTCAAGGCAGTTCTCTGGGGAGTGCTGCTTAAGCCCGCTCCCCTTTAAGAACCATCAGCTACAGTGTGCCCAGCTCTACAGTGTGTGCTATGCGTCTGAGGTGTTGAGAAATGTCGTAAATATACACAATGCCTTTAAAATGGGGGAGCTGCTTTCGTATACTTAAGGGACAGTGTTGTACAGTATCAGAACTGTGCAGATCTGCAGTCACACCAACTGGATTTGAATCCTAGCTTCACAAACCATGTAACTGTGTGGCCTTGGGCAACGTACATATTCTGAGGTTTAATTTCCTTAAAAATCTATGAAGGGGCTGGGGATTTAGCTCAGCGGCAAAAGCGCCTGCCTGGCAAGCACAAGGTCGTGAGTTCGGTTCCCGGTACCGGAGAAAAACAAAAAAAAAAAAAAAAAATCTATGAAAATGGTGACAATATCAACTTCCCAGAGTTGTGAGGGTTAGTACATTAAAACTAAGGATACTACACATAGCCTCTTGGCACAAGCCTGGCACATGGTAAGTATCCAGTAAATGTTGGTTATTGACTAGAACTGGTAATTTTTGAAAGCCTTTTGACTTTCTCACTGTTTATGACACAATGATCTTTACTATCTAAAAATGATTTCTTAACTCCATTGACTTAAGGGAAGAAAACAGAATGAAAATTTGAAAAAGAAAACTCCATCTAAAGTTACATATATATATTTTTTCATTGTAGAAGCAAAAACTAGTAGGCCAGATTCAGCCTACATGTTTTTAATTGATACTTAAATTTGAATTGGTGACCAGCTAATAAAAACATCAAAGATCTCCCTCTAAGAATTTTGTTGAAAATTTAAAGACTTTTGAAAAATATAAAAATCTAAGCCAGGCACCATGGCATGTGTCTTTAATTCCAACTACTCAGGAGGCTGAGGCAGGAAGATCACTTGAGCCCACAAGTTTAAGACTAGTGTGGATAACATAGCAAGACCCTGTCTCAAAAAACAAGTAACAACAACAAAAATGTGGTGTTTATTGTTTGTTATAGAATTCTTCCTTCATTTTCCAAATTTGTTTTTTTTTATTTGTTTTTGTTTCTGATATGAGGTATCAAACCCAGGATCTTTCCCACCTTAATATATAAACTGTACCATTCAGCTGCATCACTAGCTTATATACTTTTTTTTTTCTTTTTTTTTTAGACAGGGTCTCATTATGTAGTGCAGGCTGGCCTTAAACTCACTATGTAATACAGGCTGACCTTGAACTCATGATGATCCTCCTGCCTCAGCCTCCCAAGTGCTGGAAGTACAGGTGTGTGCCACCGTGCCCAGCCTGTTCCTTATTCTTAAATTAAAGTCATCCCCCATTAACCATTCCCAGTAATCTCCCATGTCCCTGAACAATCCAAGTCTCCAGAATTCATCTTGCTCAGATCCATATAAATCTATTTTGTTTTTCTTCTGTGAAAGCTGTACTCCATTTTCTCCTAAATTGTTACTGTTCTTTCCTTAGTAAAGTGGTTTGCTGACATGCGAGGTCATGTTAGTGTGAGGAAGTTAGGACCCAGTCGTCTGTGTACGTTACTGCAGCACTTCCCGCCTTAGCCACAGTTGTGCTGTCCGTAGTTTCCGATGCCTTCGCTTGCGGTGGTCTGAAGATACTAGATGGAAAATCCCACAAGTTGAATATTCACAGATTTGACATCCCACACGGTTCTGAGTAGCGTAATGAGATCACTGTGTCCCTCACAGGACGTGAGTCATTCCTTTGTCCACGCTAAGCTACTCCTCCCCTGTTGTCACTTAGTGTTAAATCAGCTATTGCGGGATCACAGTGCCTGTGTTTGAGTCACCCTTCTTTCCCTTAACAATGGCCTCTTGTGCAACAGTAGTGATGCCGGCGGTTTGGCTGTGCCAAAGAGACGCGGTAATGCGCTTTCTCTAAGTAAAAAGTTAGACGTTCCCACCTCAGTGGGAAGAGTCGCGTGCCGAGTTTGCTGAGATCTGCGCTAAGTCGCTGTTGTTAGCTGTTCACTGCGCCTGACTCAGGTGAACTGTGTCACAGGTATGTGTGCATGTACGGAAAAACTCCCCAGGGCTTCAGGCCTCCACGGGGTTAGAGTGTGTCTCCTGCAGCTGAGGGAGCACAGTGTGCGAGAGGCGCTCTCCCACGCGCACCCTCCTGTCTGACTTGCAGGAGGTTGGCAGAGGCATTCGACATCAGTGACGACTCTGACCCTTTCAGCGTCCGCTCATCGGCGTCAAAATTCAGCGACAGTTTGAAAGAGGATGGCAGGTATGTAACCTGCTCTCTTCACCGTGGCTTTTGGGAGAGGCTGGTGTTCTAAGCTGTAGTGTCAGTATGTGCTCCTTCTGGGGTTCAGCCAAGTAAGATTCATTTTTCTGTTGCATGAGATTATATAACGTTGAGCGATCCTTGCTTAGTTTTCTCAGAATTCCCCTTGCGGAACTGCACTGGAGCGGAGGGGGTGGCCCTGGTGGTAGAGCTCCAGCCTGCCAAGAGCTGGATAGACTGAGCTGAAGGGTCTCTAGGCCACACTGCGTCTCTAAACTAAGTCCTGTGGCCCTCACTTGGGGCAGTAAGAGAGCTTACGTATCTCCTGTTTGCTGAACCCCCTGATCGTTGCTTTGCCTTCCCTCTCTGCTTGTACTTGTTTTCCCTTTTTTGGTTTTACGACGTTTTGTTACCGTCTGCTCCTGACCTCTGCAGTTGTCTGCCAACGCTGTCCATTGTCTGCACTTCACAGGCAGACGTAGGTGGTAGGGCTTCCTGGATGGGCGGGAAGTGGATGGATTAACTGATGGTTTCTCATTTCAGGAAGGACTTAAAGTTTGTCAGTGACGTTGAGAAGGAAATGGAAACCCTTGTGGAGGCCGTGAACAAGGTTGGAGTGAACATTCCTCTGAGGCCGCCTTTATAAACACCATGTCCCAGAAACACTTTGAGCCGAGGGTAGTTGTAGGAAGCAGTCACAGCTTCCTTAAAGATCTTTCCTGGAAGCCCAGCCGTTATAACATTCGTGGAAACCCGTCCTGCTTCAGCCATTGCGGAAAGTACATCTGCAAACAAATTAAACATAAATAAAAATCCTAGCTCAGTGCCTGAGAATAGTCAAAAGCAACTCTAGACAGAAAGGCTCCGTGGTGATAGATGAATGGCTGAGCGGGCTGCTCAGCGGACCTGCAGAGACCTCCAAAGAATTGCGTGTGATAGGAGAACGGCCTTGCTTTATTACCCAAACCCTTAGGGAAAGATAAAATTGTATGACTAGAGCTGAAAGAAGTGGGGAATAGACTTCTCGGAGAAAGTAAGGCTCCTGTCCTGGAGGTTGCTAGGGGCGTCCAGGAGGCAGCGTTAAGTGGAAAGTCCTCAGTTTAGTCACAAGCAGCCAGTACTGGGGGTGTGGGCAGGCGGCTGCTTCAGCTCCCGCTGCTGGCGCTGGTCCGCCTCCCCACTGCTTAGCTGCTCTCTCCCAGGTCCCTTCCCTTGCCCTCTCTGTCACCACCCAGCAGGAGACCTACCCGAAGGAGAAAGCGGAGGGCATTGTTCGCTCACAGTGAGGAAGCCTGAACAACGTGTGTGTCTGTGTCTGCAGACTCAGCATTTAATGTAGACCAAACTTGTGTCGAAGTGTGATTTTCTTGATTTTGAAGACTTGAGTTTATTTAGTGCTTCCTTGAGACGATCACTCCACAGCGACAGGGCCCCTCGGGGGAGCCGTTCCTGTCCACCAGAGTCTCGGTGCCCTTACTCCTTGTCCCTAGCGGTGCACCCCCCCTCACAGCAGCGCCCGCCCTCCCACGTTAGTGACGCTCTGTGCACGGGAGCGCTGCAGCCCACCCAGTCTCGCTGACCAAGCCGCCGTCGTGGTAAGGACGTTTGTAAGTGCTCTCTGTCTGCAGTTGCCGTTTCCTTCAATACAGGGAAAGAGCAGCAAGAAAAGCCACAGCTTCCCTCCCATGAACAGAGACCACCGCCGAATCATCCACGACCTGGCCCAAGTTTACGGCCTGGAGAGTGTGAGCTACGACAGTGAGCCGAAGCGCAACGTTGTGGTCACTGCGGTGAGGTGGGCTGGTCTCGCCGTCACAGGAGGCGGCGTAGCAGGGTCCGTCGGTGTTTGCCGGCCTTCTGTCTTGGGAGAGGGGAAGGGAAATCTGCCTGTCTGGGACAGCCGTTTCATGGCATCTACAGGTCTGAGCAGAGAGCGAAGCCCAGGCCTCACTACCTAGGGCAGATTCACCCCCGGTGCGCAGGCCTCCCGTCGGCCCTGACCCATGGCCGGGGCTGGAGACAGCATTGGGCCGGCAGAGCAGACAGCCCTGGCCGGAGCCGGGTGCCTGCTCGTCCCGCCTGTGCCCGCCCGTCTCCTGCGCTCTGCGTCCCTAGCCCGGTGGAGACGGAAGGATACCGGTGGGCCCTGTGCGCAGTGTGTCCCATCAGAAGGACCTGGGCAGCAGTGTGCGCCCGGAGGGGACAGGGAGCGCTTAGGGTCGTCGCCAGAACCTGGGGGGTGGGAAGAGCTGCGGGTGAAGCACAGAGGCGTGGGACACGGGGGCAAGTAGGCAGCAGGCCCCGCAGGGTGGGAGAAGGAAGAGGGGCCGTGCCTGAGGGGACAGGTGGCGTCAGGGTGCTCGGCACCACAGGGCCAGAGTCACCGGCTGAGTTTCTAGCCGTTTGCCTCGAAACGGTCCTCACTTCTCAGCGCCTTGTGTTTGCCTCTTACCAGAGGGAAGTCCATCTGTCCCCCGGCCACGCTGACAGCTGTGCTCGAAAGGGAGATGCAGGCGCGGCCTCCACCACCGATCCCCCATCACAGACATCAGACGGACAAGTAAGGACTCTCAGCCGCGTTCCAGAGGGACAGTCTGGTTAGGGAAGCCAGCAGGGGCTGACTGCGCTGGGCTGTACCAGTCATGGGTGGCATCTCGGGTCGGCCTGGGTGCTGTGTTCAAGTAGGTTAGGTTTGGCTGGGGCACCAGGTACGTTTGTTCAGGCCAGGGGATCCTCAAGTTTGAAATTCGCAATGCGATTCCACTCCAGGAAAAGCGGTCACTGGACATGATTTCCAGTGTGGACGGTGACCCTGGGGGTGGACTCGGCCTGCCACACCGAGTGACTCCGAGCTGCAGCAGTGCGCGGCTCACAGTAGTTACTCTGAGGATTGCCGCGGTGCCGGGGCAGGGGTGGCGGCAGAGGGGTGGGGGTGCACTCATGTTCCGTTCTGTCTACCTCTGTACGGTTCAAAAGATTTTTACAACAGAAACATGAGTGATTTAAAGAGAAAACCAAGCTGACATGCAGCAAGTTTGCCAGAAGTTTCTTCAAACAGGAGCAAGGGAGGCGCACCCCCCCATCCTCCCTTATCAGGAGAGGAGCCCAGCTGCTCTGCTGTGACCAAGGCAGTGTGACTGCAAGTTACTCTGAACCTAGAGGGCTCCCTACGCCTTGCTGGCTTTGCACTCAGAAGTCCTGTGTCAGATTTGCCGAGGTTGCGTCCCGCAGAGTGAAAGAATGAATTTTAAGAAACAGTGGAGCCGGTGATACAGCTCAGTCGTGCAGGCGCCTGCCTGGCAAGCGCGAGGTCGTGAGTTCGATTCCTGGTTCAAAAAAAAGAAACAGTGGAGGCTAAGAATAGGAAAATTTCTTGGAGAGTAGAAATGAGTAATGGGGAATGGGTTGCCAACAAGCCCTCCTCTCAGAGGGAGTTTTATAGAGCAAATCCTGAGGTGGGTACAGCGTGGGTCAAAATCATGATCAGCCAGTAAGACTGCAAGTATAGTTGCTTAGGTAATACTGATCCAGTGGAAGCACGGGTACATGAGTGACATCATTAAACTTGGTCCATGATCTAGAGTTTTGGCTTTGCCTTGAATCTTAGCAGGCTTAATCCTAGTCCTAGTCCTAGTAGGTGGGAGGGGACGGCCCACCTCTGTTGGGATAATGGGAACTCTCAGAAGGGTGATACCAACAAGGCTTGGTACCAAGCCTCCATCCGGTAGGGAAGTACTAGAACTGGCCGTTGTGACTTTAATCTTCAGATGCACCTCCAGCCCGGGTCCCGAGGTCTAGCGCCACAGGACCAGCGCCCCTGTACCCCAGGAGCCGGCCGCCGGGTTCTGGTCAGCGCAGTCCTCACAGCCGCACGGGCAGTGGTTCTGCAAGTGGGGCGGAGCCATGACATGCACAGCCCCACTCAGACACAACCTCCCGGAGCCGCGGCTTGTTCCGCCGCACTGTCTCTCTCCCGACCTTTGTTTTGTGTTTTAATTTTTGAGACAGGATCTCTCTGTGTAGTTCAGACTGACCTTAAACCCACTCTGTGTCCCAGGCTGGCCTTGAACTCAGGTGATCCTTCTGCTTCAGCCTCCCAAGTGGTAGTACTACAGGCCCGTACTCCCATGCCCAGCTTGCCCCGCTGTGTTACCAAAGCTTCACAGATGTTCACTCACCTGATCCTTCACATTCTGAATATCTGTGTCTGCTTTGCCCAAAGAAGAATAGATTGATCCTTCTTGGTTTGCTTTTCAGGAACCCTGGGAGCAGTACTTTACAGAAGATAGCCAAGGAGCCAGTCATTGACTACTTCGATGTCCAGGACTGAGCGCAGGGTGTGCGTCGATGAAAGAACGGCAGGCGTCACGGAGACACCCTGGCCGGCGGGCAGCCCGTGCTTCCCTCGCTGCCTGGCAGAGCCGTAGCCGCATGTGCCGTCTCGTACCGCTGCATCCGGAGCACGGGTGTCGGGAACCCTGGTCGGTTCCTGTCTGTAAAGGGTCCCACTGCGGCCAGGCCGCCAGCTGTGACCACGAGGCCTCCGGTCCTGCTCTGAAGGCTTCTCACACCATCCGTGTGACCGCCTGACGGTGGGGGATGTTGGACTTCATCTGGACAAACCAGGATTTTAGCCCAAAACTGACTCCGGTACTTAGTTACAGTCTCCACTGGCACAGCACATTTCTCGGTCTGGAGTGACGAGCACTGAACTGATGCACCACTCGTGGGATACACACGTCGTCTTAAACCCGGCCAGCTCGCCCGCCTTTTGCCAGAGTCTCTCCTCGATCCGTCTAGCTGCACGTCCTTCCGCGTCTGCCAGGGCTGTCAGTGCCCGGCAGGGGGCAGGGTCGGGCTGCTTCACAGAACCCACTTCTTCCCGTCCCTGGCGCCCCTCGTGCCCCGTCACCGAGTCTGCCAGCGCCGGTTCGGCCCTGCGTGACAGTAGAGGTGCAGAGCAAGCTCTCCTGCCGGGTTCGCAGTGTGGCCTCCGTGAAATGACCAGTGTCCCCAGCTGCTCTGGTTGATAAAGTCTCACGTAAACAACTGCCCTGTGTTGCTTTTTCCTGGGCCCTCGGCAGCCTCCCTGTCTCTGAGCTCTGGCCTCTGGAAGTGTCTAGACATTCAGGGCTCTGCCCGGCCACCCACCGTAGGCCAGGTCCCCGACCTTTCTGTTCCTTTGGGCACCCCGCGGGCGTGGGGGCCAGACTTCCAGCAGCTTCCTTCCACCTCAGAGCAGCAGCAGGAGAGTTGAGACATGGAGTCACAAAACCAAAACTAGACGCGTAGGAAGAGCTGCCACTTGGGCCTCACCCAGACAGTCTGGTAGTGAGGTGCAGGGGCGCGGGGCTGAGCAGGGAGAAAGCACCACTTCCCTCCAGGCTGCTCTGCAGGGTCTGCAGCCCGGCGCACAGCGCAGAGCCATGAGTGTGTGCTCCGTTTGCTTTTTAAGGGAGGGGAGCCTTGAGACATGGTCTCGCTGTATAGTTCAGCTTGATAGAACTCACGGCAGTGCTCCTGCCTCAGCCTCCTGACTACTGGGATTTCAGGCGTGTGCCGCCATACCCAGCCTCTCTTTCAAGCCGTGGGTTGAGCATCCAAATCAGCAGGAGATCTGCCTGCAGATGCTAGCTCTGCTGTGTATCGCCACTTGATGGAATGGAGGTTTTATCTACGTTACTGGGGTTGTTGTGAAAATTAAATAGCAGATGTAGCGTGCCTGGTCCATCGGAGGTGTTCAGAACTCAGGAACTTAGTATCTGGGAAATACATAAGCGTCTTCTGTCCACAGCACTGGCTAAGTGGAGGGGTGGCGTGCTGGCCGGCCTCCCCTGGTGAGTGTGCACACCTGCGCTGGCCAGCCTTGCGGTGGGGCTTGGGGAGCAGGTGTGCAGGGGCTTAAGGGAAGGTGAGTTGTGGGAGACGGGTGGAGAGGTGGGTGGGGTCGCGCGTGAGAGCCTGGGGGTCCCGGCGAGCCCTATGCAGAGTACCCCATAGATTTATCATCTAGAGCAGGAGTCAGCGAGTGGTTTCTGTAAGAAGCCAGAGTCAGACCGAGACTTAGTCAGCAAGTCCTACCGGTCTGGGTAGTGGGGAGTCACACCTGACTGAAGGGCCCTGGAAGAAGAATCTCACGTGATTTTTGCATGTCACAAAATATTCTTTGCACTTTTTTCCCAGCCACTTAAAAATATAAAAACCAGGGGCTGGGGATTTAGCTCAGCGGCACAGCACCTGCCTGGCAAGCTCAAGGTCGTGCGTTTGATTCCCAGTACCAGAAAAAACCAAAATATATATATATATGTATGTGTGTGTATATATATGTATATATATATAAACCGTCTTTAGTTCATGAGTTGTACAAAAACAGCCTTGGTTTGACTGTGGATTTGGTCCATCCACCCTGTTCTGGAGCGGCCTGGGGCAGAAGTGTGTAAGGGACTCGGGGCAAGAATCCCACCCAGGAGAGGCCGCAGCTGTGATCCGGAGGACGAAGGGGAAGGTGGCGGGAGCTGGCTCTGCGAAGAGGGAGAGGCTCAGGTCTGGGAAGCAGCAAGGGTGCCAGGGGTCGGCAGGGAAGCCTGCCTTGCTCGGGTCCCCTTGGCAAGGGGAGAGCTACCTCTCGTAGGTCTGTGGATCCCTCACTGAGCAGCCGAATTGGACACAATTTTTACGCACACGTGGGTAAGGGAGAAAGATCCCACCTCCACCCCGTACACGAAGGGAATCTTCGGGCACCAGAATCACATTTGCTCTTGAGAGTCAGGTGCGGTTCCAGCCCCACACTCAGCGGGAGTTCCTTTACGACCAGAGCTTTCTAGATCCAGGTAAGTATCTTGAATCCCTCCGGCTTGTCAGGCCCTGGACCTGTGAACTACAGCATCTGGGCAGTCCCGAGCTCCTCCCAGGTAGGGAGAAGCACCCTTCAGACTCCCTTAAGCCAGGTCCATCAACAAGGGGAGCTCCTCGCACCAGGGGCACCAGCCAGGCGTGCAGTGGGTGGGGGCAGCGCAGGGCGAGGTGAAGGCCGCCTCCCTGTCCCGGCTGGCCTGAGAACAGCAGGGAGAGGGAATGTCAGGCTTGGAGGAGGCGTCCAGTCAGCCTGCAGGTCCTATAGGTTTAGGTTGGGGGGCCCCTCCCTGTGCGGCTGGCCCTGCTTCACACCTGTCCTAAGAACCCCCCAGGTGCCTCCTTTCTATCTCTGGAGAGGCACTGCCAGGCTAGGCCGGCTCCTTCAGCTTCCCGGACCTGCCTTCCGCACGGGTCACCATACCACACCCAAGGGCACGTTCTGCCTCCCGAGCCCCAGATTCTTGTACCATCTCCCATAGCCTCCCTTGGTTCTTTTGAGACAGGGCCTTGCTATGTAGTGCAGGCTGGCCTTGAACTTACTATGCAGCCCACCCTAGCCTCCAATTCACGCCAATCCTCCTGCCTCAGCCTCCCGAGCACTGGGGTTATAGCCCTGCACACCTGGCTCCCATCCCTTAACTTACCTTGTGGTACTGGGGACTGAACCCAGCGGCTTTGCTCTGAGCCACATCCCCAGCCCCTTTTCGCTTTTAATTTTGAGACAGGTTCTCACCAAATGCCCAGGCTGAGCTTGGGCTCATGATCCTTGTACCTCCGCCTCCAGAGTGGTGGGATCACAGGCGTGCACCACTGTACCTGGCTCTCACGGTCCTTGTACCTCAAGGGTCCTCAGGAGATTCGCAGAGCCATTCTGGCCCCTCAGCCTACAAAGGCTGGGCCAGGGGAGACAAGCTCCCTGGGGTCATAGTACGTGCCATCAGGACTGGAGTGAGTACCTCGACCTAGGAGCTAAGTCCTCGGGAACAAGTGAGTGGTTCCCCTCCCTGTCTTCCTTGAGCTCCCTTGAGCGTTCCACCCGTGAGCCAGGCTGCCCTTGGCCCTAAGAGTGATGAAGTCACTCTTCCTGATGTGTGGAGACCTGGGCACGCGGATCCCGGCCGCACAGCTAGGATGTCCGTGGTCTCGGCTCACCCTTCCCCTGGGGCGGCGGCCCGTCTCCACAGCTGTCGGGTGGGGTCAGGCGACCCTCCGGGTGCTGCCCGGAGCCACCGCAGGAGGGAGGTCGGAGGTCCGGGGTCTCGGCAGCCGCAGGACACCAGCACAGCCCCGCCTGGAGCCTGTGCCCGTTCAGTGGGTAGCTCTGGGGTGGGGAAGGGGCAGAGCTGTCCTCACGCTACCCGGGCAAGGGTGGACACTCGCAGTCACCCCCCTTGTGTTCCGCCCACCCACGTCAGCGGGGTCCGGAATCCTGGTCTCCCCCCGCCTCCCGGCGCGGGTCACAGCTGCGACCGCCTAGCACACCCCGCGCGCGGCGCGCACCTCCTCCGTCCTGGAGAAGAGCTCCCACCGGCCGCCGCGGTGCCCAGTGCGGGCTGGGCCTTGGGACCCGAGACCGTGGGCTGCCGGGGCGCGGAGGCCGCAGGGTGTGATCACGGGCTGGGAAGCTGGTCCTGCCCGAGATCCCTCGGCGAGGCCCCAGGGGCGGACCGCGGCGGGCGGGCGCGCTCTCCGAGGAGCAGGGCAGCGGCGCGGTGAGCGGGCTGAGGAGGGAGAGGCTCCCCTGCAAGCAGAGCGGCGGCCGAGCCTCGGGGGACGCGCCCTCCCGCAGCGGCGCAGGGCCCGTGCGTACCCCGCCGGGGAGCCGCGGCCGGCGCCTACGCCCGGCTTCTCTGCAGCGTGACACATTCGCTCCCGGCGCCGCGCTCTCTGCTGGCGACATTTACACAGGGCGAGGCTCGGGCAGGCAGAGACCCCACGGAAGACTGCCGACACCCACGCCGCAAAGCCCTCGCGCAGAGGGAGCGGCGCTGCGGGGCGGGCTGCGGGGCCCCGGCGCTGGAGGCTTCCACGGCCACGAGGGGCGCCGAGGGGCGCAGCGGGGCGCAGCGGGCGGTCACGGGGTCAGCGGCTCCGCGCCGAGGCCGGCTGTCCGAGACCGCGGCGGCTTGAAGCAGGGGCTGCTGCGGGGCTGCGGGCGCGGCTCCGCGGCCCGCGTGCGGGAGGCGCCGGCTTCGGCTCCCAGCCGTGAAAAGCGACGGCTGGATCCCGGCCGCCTCGCAGGTCACCGCTGGCGGCAGGACGCGAGGGAGGGGTCGGATGATGGGAAGGAGCTTGGCCCGAGCAGCCGAAGACCGGATTTGCCGTTTACCGAGACAGGAAGCAGGGGGCTGGGGGTGTAGCTCAGCGGCACGGCGCCGGCCCGGCAAGCGCGAGGTCGTGAGTTCGATCCCCGGTACCGGAAAACAAAACAAAACAAAAAAAGAGACAGGAAACAGGGTGGTAGGAGCGGCTTGGGGGAGAAAATCTGCCGGTGGGCAGAGTACATCCAAAGTTCCGGGACAGGGCTGCGCTGGAGATCTCATTCGGGAGCTGCGGCCTGTGACATTCGAAGACGAGGGAGACGTGGCAGGAGGGCGGTGAGGAGAAGAGGCGCGCGGCCGGCCCTCGCCCCCACCCTCCGGGGGCCTCCCGCCCGGCCTCCTGCCTGCCCAGCAGCCGGGGCCTCCACCCTGTGCCGTGGCGCCTGCGCTCCCAGGTGAAGCACCCACCACCCGCGTCCCCGGGAGCAGAACTCCGGCCCTGCCCTGTAACACACGCCCCGGAAGCGGGCTCGGAGTGGAGGCGAGGAAGGACTCGTCGTGGCCCTGGAGGGCCCGCCAGCGGAGGCAGTGCCTCCCCAGGTCGGACACGCCGGAGGGGCTGAGGCGCTGGCAGCCCGAGACAGTGCAGCCTGCCTCCTCGCCGCCCCCACGGACTGCATCCCTCCGCCTTAGGGACTGTCTTCCTGGGGCCAGGGCAAGTGCAATGGGACGGCAAGAGGGAGCAGAAACATTCCCGATGGCCCTGGAGGGGTTGTTGGTTTTTGGTTTTTCTCCGGTACCGGGAACCGAACTCACGACCTTGCGCTTGCCAGGCAGGCGCTTTGCCGCTGAGCTAAATCCCCAGCCCCTATGGCAGGGTTGTTGAAGTGGCCTGTGGCAGTTCCCATCGGAAGACTCCTCCTACAGCCGGTGAGGGTTTGGCTGGGCCCCTGGAGGACTCAAAGGCCCCGTCCTAGATTTAGGGCTTCCTCCCCCTGCCGGTGTGCACCTGGCTCCCAGCAGGGTGTCTTCCCCCCGCACTGGGCCCTTGGGCAGCCTCCGTGCCTCCAGCCGCCACTGCCCAGGGCTCCCGCAGGCACCAAGCCCCTCTCCAGAAGCCCCTGCACATGCCCTCCTGCACCCATCCTGGCTCCTGGGCACCAAGGCAGGAATCTTTTCTTCAAATTAGACTTCACTGGCACATTATATATATATATATATCTCACATTCATAATTTGTGCCTGTACATGATGTAACTTGGGGTTATTTTCCACATTCCCCTCCCCTCCCCTAATCCCTCCTCCCCTCCCCATTTACAAAGCTTTGTCTCCATGTTTTCCTTTCTTCTCATTTTTTTTTATTTTTCCCTTCTTCCCTTTCCCCCTACCCTCTCCCTGTTCCCTTCCCCATTTGAACATGTTCCTCCTATTTCAAAGTACATTTTGGTCCTTTTATTGACACTTTTGGTTTCTCACACCAGAGAGACAGTGCAGTATTCACACGTGTGTCCAATCTATTTCACTTAAGACTCTGGGCTCAAGGTGCATCCATTTTCCTAGAAACGTCTCAAGTGTATCCTTCTTTATGGCTGAGTAGTACTCCATTGTATGAAAAAATCACATCTTCTTTATCCATTCACCAGTTGATGGGCACTTGTGCTGTTTCCAAGATTTAGCTATTACAAACTGTGTTGTTTAAAACAAACAAACAAAAAACTGTGTTGTTATGAACATGAGTGTGTATGTATCGCTGTGGTATGATGCCTTTAATTCCTTTGGGAAGACACTCAGGAGAGGACTGGCTGGGTTAAATGGGACCTTTAGTGCTAGTTTTTTGAGGAATCTCCAGACTGATTTCCACAATGGTTTCACAATGGACACTCCCACCAACAGTGGAGAAGGGTTCCTTTTTCCCCACAGACCCTCCAGCATTTGTCACTGGTTGATTTCTTGATGGCAGCCATGCTTTCTGGGGTGAGATGGAATCTGTGTTGTTTTAATTTGCATCTCTTGAATGAGCAGTGATGTTGAACATTTTTTCATGTATTTATTTGCCATTATGCCCATTTTTGGATTGGGTCTTTAGACTTGGGAGGTCTGGCTTTTTTTTAGTCCTTTGTATGTTCTCCAGAGTAAGCCTTTGTCTGAGAAACACGTGGCAAACATTTTTTCCCATGTTACAGGTTGTGAGACAGGGATCTTGAGACCTCGGCCTCTTGCGAACCCCATCCGCCTTGTGTCCTCCCAGAGGAAGAGGCTGATGGCAAAGTCAAACCCCGTTTCCTCTGGGGCTCACTCACTGTTCTTGTTCATGGTTGAGCAAATCGAGGCCCAGAGAGGTTGAATAACTTGCCCAAAGTTTTTTTTGTTTTTTGGTTTCAATTTGGGGTTTTTGATTTGGATTTGAGACAGGGTCTCTTATGTTGCCCAGGCTGGCCTGGGAATCCTGAGTTCAAGGGATCCTTCTCTTTTTTTTTTTTGTGGTTTTGGTTTTTTTCTGGTACGGGGGATTGAACTCACGACCTTGTGCTTGCTGGGCAGGGGCTGTGCCGCTGAGCTAAATACCCAGCCCTCTTTTTCTTTTTTTTGTGGGGGATCCTTCTTTCTCAGCATCCCAGGAGTAAGCGCATGCCACCATACTGGTTATTTTGAACATTTGTTTCATTGTCATGTTAACTGTGTCTGTATGTTATTTACACTCTTACAGAGTCTATTTCACAGTTTAAAACCAGTGACTAGCCAAGACCATGTCCTTGTGTGCACAGGCTTCAGACGCACATCGGCAGGGTGAGCGCCTCTCCCTAGCCTCGGTCTCCTCGTATGTCACGTGAAGCAGGATGGCGTGAGGCTCACATGAGAGGGTGCTAAGGGCAAACACGTACACTGCCGTGTGCCCAGCTTAAGCCTGTCCTCACAGAGCTCGGTGAGCGGGAGTGCTGTCCCACCGGCCTGAGCTCACACAGCTGTCAGGGCAGGCATGCGGCCCAGGCAGGCTGGCGCCACTGTCCTCTTAGGCGCCCCAGTGCGAGCCGGCCGTGTCCAGCACGGCTGGGATCACCCTGCGCGCCGCTGTTCCCAAGAGCCGCAGGTGCCGGGCCTGAGCGCAGCCTTCACACTGAGGCCTGGGCCGGCAGCTGCCCAGCTCCTCGGAGGCCCGCGGTAGAGGGGGTCCCTAGACCCTTCGGGCACCCGGACCTGCCCTCCCCTCCAGCGGCCTCGCTGCCTCTGCCCCCGCCCGCCCCCACCTCCACGCTGGGCCTGGCTTCGGCCCGGTGCCCTTGCGCCTGCACTCCCGCTCCGTCTTGGCCCCCGGGCTCCTCCTTCAGCGCCGCGCCCTCCCCCGGGGGTGCGCACGCCCGCGCCCCCTCCTCGGCGAGGCCTTCCGCCTCGCACCTGCGCGCAGTTCTGCCCTCCCCGGCCTCCCTGCGTTGGCCGTGCATTTCCCCAGCACGCGAGCTCCATGAGCACGGGGTCTGTTCTGTCTTCCTGTGTCTGCACCTTCGGTCCCAGCGCAGCTCTGCTTCGAGAACGTTGCTCTGCGGGAGGGGCGGGGCGCCCTGCGCTCCCCCGGGCCACCCCGAGGCGCGACGGCGGCGCGGGGGCAGCAGAGGGG